CTTTTTATCCACAATATTTAATTCATTTAAAAACTCTTTAATTAATTTAAGAGCTGCATGAATCATCTATCGAACGTGATCTTTTGTTTCAATTCTATCTGGTTAGCCTAAAACACATCGAAATTTGGGATCAAAGTTGAGTGACAGCTAGACGCAATGATAAGTTGCCTATTTTTTATTATTTTTTTTTTAATTATTCTTTCATAGCAGTCCGAGTGATTCCCGCAACACAAACTCCAGAATATTTCAGGCTAACAAAATAAAATTTGAGCGGAAGATCGCTTTCGATGGATGGTCCATTCGAGCCTTAACTCGAAGAAAAATGTTTGAATAATTTTTTATCTCCTCAGATACCACAAGTGTCTGTCCTGTTACGAAAGACTGGAAGCCCTGAGGCCGATAATCCAGAAGAAACAGTCATCCACCGGTCAAATGGGTGCGTCTTTTCGTGAGCTCAATGTCTTAATGAACACATTGGTGTGACCGAGGCGTTTGCAGGCGGTTGTATCGCCGATGCCACGTCGATCTTCCACGTTCAAGTGCAAACATTGCCAAGCACGTGAAACGAGACTGAGATAAAAAAAAATAATAATCAGCGAACAACGTGGCCCCCAGATAATGGCCTAAAATCTTGCCGGGTAGTTCCTTTTTCATGAGAATCCAAGACACTAATCTTCGAATCAAACTAGTAATTTACTAATTAATAGTGTCACTGGCTACGCCATAAACCGAGTGACACTAATTGAGACTCAATAACAGAATTAAAACGTGATGATGAACAAGCGACATGTCTTTCGCTCAAAGCTGAAAGGAATATGAGGGACAATAGATATTCATCCATTCATTATTTTTTTGTACAATTTTGCCTCATCTCTCCGTGAGAATCATGTGATGCAGTAGAAGAAGGAGATGAGTGAAGAGAATTTAAGGAGAAAATGTCTCAATGAAAATTCAGATATGCCGTAATAATCTTCTTGAAATGAGGAAAGCATTCAACTTGTCTCTTTATTCCACTCCGATTCCATAGTTATGCTTAAACACATTTGATGAATGATGAGCATGAATGAAGAAATGGAAATCATTGAAATGTATTTTTGGGAGGTTGAGACGATTGGCAAATCCATCGTATCGCTCGTATTATGTAAATAATAATTATTAATATTAATGAGTCTAATCGAATTATGATTGATGTGAGGTATTAGTCCTTGTGTTTTTTTTTATGAATATTGAAATGTAATTTTTTATTATTTCTGTATTACAAATGGTAGTGAATAAAAGTATGAGCCCAGTGAACTCGAGAGAGACAAATTAAATTCGACAATCATGAGATTTCGATTGCCATTAATTGAAAAATTACGGTCGAGAATGAAAATATAGTGCGGGACGAATCGATCGTCGTTCTCCTCTCCATCACCTTCTCTAGTTTATTTACAACCGATCAAGCATGATTCAAGTCTAATCGCTATGTCTTTTTTATTTGAGATAAAAAGTGAGAGAAATTTAGTAAAAAGAGGTAACCGTTTTCCTAATCAATTTTTTTTTGTATTATTCAATGGCGTCAGTGATTTTCTTGTATGTGAAAAAATTTCCGTAATTACGAACTTATGTATTAATTAATTTCAAAGACTAATGGTTACTGATAAGTCATTCTTGTTTGTAACTAATGCATTGTACGAGTTATTATGAAAATTGAATCGATATTTGTTCCACCAGTTATATTTAATTTATAAATATAGTGAATTGTTTCACCAGTCAATCGTCAATTTACGTCGATCTTTAATTATTGAAGCCTTTAATTAATTTTTGAATGTGAGAGTGCAATGTGGAATTTATTAATGAGAATTTTAGATTTAGTTTACACAGAGCAATTTTTCCGATGATATTTTTATTTCACGAACAAATATCCCTTCAATTTTGGTAAAACAATTTCAGTGTGATGATTCATGAACAAAATGTGAAAAAATAGGAGTTAACTCGTTAAATCCGTCCATTAGGTAATTTTTATAACGAAATAATGAGTGCGAGTCCTGTGTACTTAAAGCGTGCCTGTCATATTTATATTGTTCATGTTTGATTTTGTTTTGTCGATTGTTCGCATGTTGAAACGATCCCATAGCGTTTGATTAAAATTTTTAATTATCAATCAAATACTCCATTACGTTTGTCCCGAGACTGTAAATCCTGTCTTCTAGATATTCATTGTTCAGTTGATTATTTCGAGTATTTACTGCCAATGAGGGCATGAAGAGGGTAGAATGTGTGTAAAATGAGTTTATGAAACGTGCTGTTAAATCATGCAGATAATGTGTTAATTCAATGAGCTTCGGCCTTCAATAACGATCTCCTCAAATTGTATCTTTATCTTGGGTTCTGTATTTTTTATTGCCCACTGGGTTAAGTATGGGTACATATCCTCATCATGAGCTTGTCGAATGGCATTAATAAATTAACAATTTTTTCAATTGTCATAATATTTTAATGTAGTCGACCAATCTTATTGTAAAAAAAATATCAATGATAATTAATGAGAAGCATAGAAAATATATTAAATAATTTCCTTACCAACAATTTTGTCAATGCTGAATTTTTTCTGAAAGTCCTTCAAACGAAAAATTACCGAAATCGGGGATTCGGTGGAGAGCAAAAAAAAAATGATCTCGCTACTTTCCTGAACAAATCAGACAGAATCAGTGATCCATCACTCAGAACTTTTTTTTTGTTGCAGAGAGAAAAACGGAAGAGAAGTTGAATTCAATTCCTGGTGTTTACATCACAAAAAACTCAAGAAAAAAAAAAAACGTGGAGCATCGATCTCGATGGTGTCAGCGATTAGAGAGCGTGAAAAAAAAAATGTTGAATGAAGCGATCGCTTAAATCCGTGAAATATCGCGAGCACATAACGCTGAAATCGACGCGTGCCGCATTCTGTTTGCACAGGCGATTTCGTATTCACAGGATTATTGCTTGAACGGGTGGTAAAGGGGTGTGACCCTTTGCTCATCGAGTGAAACGCTCTTTTTCTTGTAAATCGAGTGTCAAGGGAAATATTATATTATATGTTATTATACCTCAACCGGTTAATCATATGCATTTACGTGGCATGCGAGAAATTATGTAGTGATACGGAGTAAATTAATGTTTTCCTTAACTTTTAGTTATTCTCATGTACCAGTTGCCAACCGATTTATTGAGTCACTTCCGATAATTTTTTTGTGATGATAGATTCGGGCGAATGTTCGATGTTCATTCAGCATTAGAAACTCACACAATTGGATCTAGTAGCCACAAAATAATATTTTTATTCAGTGGATATACTCACGAGAGGTAATTTAAATAAATCGAGACTTTAATAATCGTCACTTTCAATTAGAGGGAATGACTAAAGTAATTGACTAATACTTACAAGTAACTCCATTCCACAGACATGCAAATCAATTTTTCGAAATTTCGAAATTCTTTTTGACATAGAAATGAACTTTCAAGAGGATAAATAATTTATCAATAACAACCTGAAAATACTCGGATGAATGACAGCTCCGGGTAGAGAGGATTTATCTGATTCTGGATTAAGTATCAAACGATTTCGAAGAGTTCGTCCCTTTGTACGTCCTTTGATGAAGCTACACGGAGAGAAATATTTAGTAAAAATTACGGAACTTTCAGTTCACTTACCGATTACGGAGTTGATTCCAAAAATTTAAATGACGGTATCGTTATTTTTCACCGATTATTCAGATAAAAATTACGGAACACCGCGGAAAATTTCCGTGACTTTAGATAAAAATTACGTGACAGTTCCATAAAATTTCCGACAACCACATTTCGCTCCAGAATTATGGAAAATACACGTAATTTTTATTGAATATTTCTCTCAGTGTACGACTAGATTTACGATTAATCCTAAAAAAAGGAAGACTTCGAGTTCGATTAACGCGCGAGTGCATTGACCGGACATATTTGGTTAAATTTCGAGACATGAAATATTGACATCGCATTCCGCGGATGAAGTCGTGGTTGTGGATTGATAAATCGAAGCGATTTATTTGCAGGATTCATAACAATTCAATTAATCAAAAAAAACTCACACACATGAGTGATAAACTTTTGGAATTATAATCATTAAAATTTCTCGTGAAAAGAGAGCGTAATAGACGCTGAAAAAAAAAAGGAATAGGTAGTTTTTTATTGAATATATTTGTCTGGATGGAGGGGATCGGTAGAGATCTCTGTTGTGACGGAGATAAGTTAAGTCCCTTCTTGTCGTCACCTCGAGCGACGAAAATGCTGTTTTCTCACAAAATGCCGAACAATGATCCATCGGATCTTCCTTTATGGATTGTCTCGGGGGAGGACTGAAGCTTCTGAGAGGTAGAACTACATCTTAAGCGGATTATTTCCCGTAAAAAACGATACCGGTATGTATACACACGACTCTTCTTCCCCTGTCTCTTTATTATATCCTGCTATTGTCAAAAACGTAAATTCAAACTCACCCACTCGACTGCTTCAAATTTTTCAAGTTTTTTCTTCCTTCAACCTCATTTTTTTTCGATTTTCCACGAGTCCATCAATCGCTATCTACTCTCATCTCTGTCCACTTTTTTATTTCTATGGACACCATTTTCTGGGGGATTAGGTGGAATTAGATTCGGGGAACATGTGAATTTGAGATTTACGTTTAGACTACACTTTTACATTTTTTATTAATTATTATCGAACGTCATCGACTGGAGGAGGGATAAATATTTGAAGAATTTCATGAGTTTCAACATTAAAAAACTAATATTCAATTTCTAATTGTCCAAAATTAGCGACAAGCTACAGAAAAAAAAATAAATACTAAATTTTCAATCACGTATAAACATAATTAATTTGAATATTAATTTTTTTCGTGTAAGGAACGCATGAAAAATACTCGTCTCTTTCACAGGGAGAGTAAGATGGCGCGTGAGAGGTCATTAAATAAACAAAAAGGGGATTTTTTTTGATTATTTATATCTCGACGGGGTGAAACGATTGGCTGAGGGTAAAGTAGTCGTCCCCGGGGGTGAGCCAGGGTGAATCCTATTGGCTAATTACACACCAGAGAGTGAGAGAGGGTGAGGAGAATAATGGGGCGGGATTAGCAGGACTGTGATTGGTGGAGGCTGCTCTTGTGAGGGGAAATTTATCAGACCCTCCCTTGTGCACGGTCTCGCGCGCACCATCCGCCGGGGATTCCCCTCTGAAAAGGCACCCCTTTTCAGCATTCACCAGGGGATGGATCGTATTACTAGGGGAGAGAAATTTTTCAGAGCGAGCTCAGGGGGCGGAAACGCAAAAAAGAAACTAAATGTGAATGTTAAAAAGGAAGCTGAGAGGGTGAACAACGGGGGAGATGCCTCCGATCGCGTCCACTCCAGTGGATCATTATTTCATTTCCCTTTTTATTCAGTCACTCATTTATTTATTCCTTTTTTGCCCCCAAAATTCATGAAAAAATAGATAATTACACAATTTGGGAAAAGTATAATAGAAATTATTCGAAAACAAAACGTGGAATTTATGAGATGTTACGTAAACATTTACGTTACGTCAAAAAATATAGAAAAAAGTGCGTAATTCTCCCGTAATTTTTACTTATTATTTATTTTATTTATTTTTACTTATTTTTTGGTTTTTTAAAGTGCGTAACTCTTCCATAATTTTTGCTTATTATTTACTTTATTTATTTTTATTTTTATTTTTTTGTTTTCACGCGCATATTATAAAACTTTCACGTCATTTCTATTGCATTTTCCTCTCTGGATATTCTTTTGGTGACGGATCTGAAAATTTACTGAATGTTTCAGATATTTCTGTTAATTTCTATAACAATCCTAGAAGCATTTTCGTTTGCGGATTGCATGGAATTTTTTGTAATATTTATTGATTACTTTTTCCGTCCAAATTTGAGCCAATGGAATTGCATGATTCGACGAGGCTACTCGATGAAGTACTAATTATTCTTTAATCATCGGTCTCTTACCGGTATATATGAAACAAAAAATTGTTTCAACGGTTCAACCATTGATTGCAATTGACAGATTGAATTATTTTGTGTTTTCAAATATTTTTTCTCATTTTTTGAATATAAATTTCGTCTCATGATGCAATTCCATTGGCTGACATTTCAACGAAAAAAAAAAACCGAATACAGCTCGAGCTTTGAAATTAATCGGATATTTCCCTTTACACGGAAATAAATATATTCAATAAAAATGATGTGTCTTTTCCGTAATTCTTGAGCGAAATGGGGTTGAGTAAATTTTACGGAACTGTCACGTAATTTTTACACTGAGAGAAATATTCAATAAAAATTACTTCTATTTTCCGTAATTCTAGAGCGAAATGTGGTTGTCGGAAATTTTACGGAACTGTCACGTAATTTTTATCTAAAGTCACGGAATTTTTCCGCGGCGTTCCGTAATTTTTATCGGAATTGTCAGTGAAAAATCACAATACCGTCACTTAAATTTGTCGAATCAACTCCGTAATCGGTAAGTGAACTGAAAGTTCCGTAATTTTTACTAAATATTTCTCTCCGTGTACCTAGTCACGGAATTTTTCTGCGGCATTCCGCAATTTTTTTCCAGGTCGATTCCGTAATCCGTAATCAGCGAGCGAATAGAAGGTTCCGTAATTTTTCCGAAATATTTCTCGCCATGTAGATGCCCTGCAGACACATGAGCTTGCCAAAGGTTCTAGTGCTATAAGTGAATATTTCTCTCCATGCGTGTAAAAATGATTGGTGATCCCTAAAAAATTTTGTCGAGCGATTTCAAGTCCCGGACGATGCAGTTCCGTGTAAGAAGAAATTCCAAAAAAATTGATTCTCGGAGTACTTTTGTTGAGGGGTTTCAATAATTCAAGGAGATCACGCACGCGCCAGATGGATGCCGAAGTTCTCCTTTGGTACGTGCATCAAACGCTAAAAACTTGAGACTCCCAGAAGGACTTTTCACACAGCTGGCGTCCAACTCAACCAAATCGTTCCTTTCCTCCACTCATTTCTTTTCCATTTCAAAACAAACTTCAGTTTCATTCACAACCTGAAAAAAGGAGTGACCCTACGGCAGTACATTCTTCCCAAATGAAAAAATCAAATAAATATCTTTTGTAGAAATAGCAATATTACATTACATTACAGAACATCACGCTTTCATATTTTCAAAGAAAATCGTTTTACTTCATACTCCATTCAACGTGCATACCCTTTGAAAAAATATGTTAAATTAAAAAAAAAACGTTATATAGTTATAAATCATATAATCATATAACCCTTAAGGTGTATGCGGAGTTTTTGAGGTGGAGGCAGGAGGAGATGTGAAACAAAGCAAAACCATTTGTAACATCAAAGTCAATAAATTCTATTCTATTCTATTCTGTTAAATTAAAAAAAAAATGTGTTAAATTAAAAAAAAATGTTTGGAACAACTAAATTCAATTTTCA